ATAGATCAAAGTGGCTTTTTGTCGAAATTACGTAAAACAATTATGCGCAGCAAAGCAAAAATGACTTAAAATTTATGAACAATTCTGCGTTCTAGTGTGTTGATTTCACACTAAATGTTATTTAATTTATGTCTTTTCATAGTTTATATTCATGCGGACAGTATTTAGCTGTGATTTTGTACGTGACCCGTTATCTAGTTGGTATTGTTGATCGAAGGCCAAAAACTAGCAATATCGTGATTCTACTACCTTCTACTACTACCAAGTTTAATATCTAATTTTAGGTTACAAAATATTGAAGTGAAATTGAAGAAAAATCTCTTTGCTTGTACTGTTTGTATCTGGCTGGTTCTAATATCAATACTTATAAGACAAAAAAAGTTATTTTACTTAACTTTTTTAACTTTAAAAAGTAAAAAAAAGTAAACCAACACTTTCCCGCCATTTCGCAATTGCTTTTCTGTCCGCCAAAATGAGTGAATCTAACGAAGAATTTTTGTACCTTCTGAAGATTTACTACAAAAAAGGGAAAAATGCAACTCAAGCTGCGAAAAAATTTACGTTTATGGACCTAATGCAGTGTCAGCAAGAGAGTAGCACAAAGTTGGCTCAAGCGTTTTCAGTCCGGTAACTTTGATTTCAAAGATGCAGATCGTTCTGGTCGCCCTTATACGGATAAAGTCGATGCCATTTTTGGAAAAGTGGAGAAAGATCGGCATATTAGTAGTTACGACTTAGCCGAGGAATTGAGTATTGACCACAAAGGAGTTTTGATCCATTTGAAAACGTCTGGCTATACAAAAAAGCTCGATATTTGGATACCACACGAGCTCACTGTAACTTAACAACTAATGAGACTCAAGAAAGAAATTTAAAAAAAATGGCCGAAATTGAACTACAAAATAGAAGTGTTATTTCATCGGGATAAAGATAACAGACGACACACATTTTTACGCCACTCAGCAAAAATTGAGAGGGCTTGGTTGGAAAGTGTCAATGATCCCATATAGTCCCGACCTTGCACCCTTAGATTTTCACCTGTTTCGGTCTCTACAGATATCTTTGGGTAGTGTTAGGTTAACGTCAAGAGGGCACTGCACAACCTACTTATTGCATTGTTTTGATCAAAAATCCCAAGATTTCTACAGCAACGGGATTATGTCACTACCTACAAGATGGCAACAAGTTATCGAACAAATTGGCGCATATACTTAAATGTAATTAAACTTTCAAATATTTTGTATTTACTGAAGTAGAAATCGGTAAGTTGTTGCAGTTTTGTCAATGTGTCATTTAAACCTAAAACAAATATTTTCTTCAGCTTACCTTCATTAAATACATTTAACGGACGGCGTCCACACCACACGTTGGAAGGTCGTTCAGTTTACTTCGGTTCGGGCCAATGTGCGGACGAATTTATAAGCACCGTGGCGCAGTGGCTCAGCAATGAGTGGCTGCGCCGGGCGCCCCGGGTTTGATCCCGCACGGAACAAGTATTTGTATATGATTTCTTAAATTTACGCGAACACTACACATTGAATAAAACTAAATTTACTGATTATATCGCGTTTATTTAACTGATTTTACTTATTTTTAATTCCCGACGTTTCGGGTGCTTTACAGCAACCTTGGTCACGGGGTGGACTGAGATGTTTGACGTCCCAATGTCATTGTTAGCCCGGCTACCTTCAGTTTTTGAATATTAATTTTTGGTCCGATTTACGCAAAACGAACTTACAGTATCTTGAAGTCTTGCAGTGGTATGCTTGGGTTTGGGTTTAATTTTGTTAATTATAGGATCCCAAGCAGACAGCAGCACTCAACCATCTTCTCTATTGAAATTACGTTGTTTTTTAATTTCAATAGCCTCGCGTATCATCCTTGGTAGGAATCGGTGTTCTTTTGCGAGGATTTGTGGTTTATCAAATCTGATGTAATGGTGGGGACGATCTAGAACATGTTCACAGACTGCAGACTTCCCGGAGCGTCGGTGCTTCACGTCAGCTATATGTTCTTTCACGCGGGTTTTTATGGATGTTTTTGTTTGACCTATGTAAGAGAGACCACATTCACAATCTAACTTTTACACTCCTGCATCTGGTAGAGGGATATTACACTTGACGGATGGTAAAAAATGACTAATCTTCTTCGGCGGCTTGTAGTATGTTTTAATGGAAGCTCGCTTCAAGATGTAGCCAACCTTGTCTGTGACTCCTCTGACATATGGTGGTACAGCAGGCACACGCTCGACTGTGGCCGGCTTCATTCGGTCACTGTGACGTAGGCGCGGGATCCGAAGCTTGTTGTCTTGCAACACTTGCTTGACATGCTGCAGCTCGGCGGCCAGATGTTTTCTGTCACAGATCCCTCGTGCTCTCTGAAACAAAGATTTACCCACGGTAGCTAACTGTGAAGGATGATGGTGAGATTCACCATTTAAATATCGGTTGGTGTGGGTCTTTTTTCTATACACAGTGTGACCAATAGTGTTATCAGAATTTCGAATGACTAAAACATCTAGGAAAGCTAAAGAATTATTTGCCTCTAACTCCATTGTGAATTGTATTTTAGAGTTTATAGAGTTAAGGTGGTTAGTAGTGGATATTAATGGGGCTGTAAATAGATATACGATATACGATTAGATTTATTTATTCTTTACATGCATCATAAACTGGAATAAATACCATTAATAAGAACTTAACTTATTTTAAACTTAAAAGAGTTATAATCAATTAGTCTATGTTTTAAAATTGGGTTTTGGTTTAGCAAAATATGTACTTGCGTTTCTATCAGATATTTGATGTATATAAAAAACACCTTATAATTTATTTGGTAATTTAATTATTTTTTGAGAAAGACAAAAACAATAGCAATAAATATAATTAACACTGACTTAATAATAGGTACTAATTATAACTTAGAACAGCGGTAGTATAAGTGTGTTCCGCGGAACCCTAGGGTTCCGCGATACCCCTGTAGGGGTTCCGCAAGAATTTAGAAAAAAAATCAAAACACCTCTCTCTGGTCACTGGTCGAACGTTTTGACTCCGCCCGCCGCGCGTATACTTGTGAGCGCGCAGTCCCTTTGATAAAAGCCGCCTCTGAATTAGACGCTATAGTTGAGAACAAGCGACTTTCGGCTCTATCTTCAAAAATATAAAGTCGAGATTGTTTACAACGCATTTTTTTGTATTTCTATTTTTATTTCCGCTTTTTGTTTATCAAAGGCGCCGACTCGAGTATTTTTGAGAATGTTCGAGTTCCAGTCTAGGACTAAGTATAAAAGCGGCGATTGCGCGTCGCGCCTCGTCAGTCAGTTGACGATTAGCGTTCGGAGCGATAAGTTCCTACCTACCTACTTACAAGCTGGCTAACGAATTGCGGAGTTTAAACGTGATATGTAACTAGTGTTCATTGTTCTACTGCCTGCTGTATTCTGATTGTATCAGTTTTGTACATATCTTCTTTGGACTAAACTTTGTCTCATAAACGCAGTAACGATTGTGCATTATTTTGACCTCACCATCCTGACGTGTAACATTATTAATAAAAAAGAATGGAAGGTTGGCTTAAAGGCGTTAAACGTGTTGCAACAACATCTTCTAATGACGCTGAATGTTCAAAAACAGTACGCGTGGAGAATACAGTAATTAACGATCCAGACGATGATGCCACGACGTCAAGCTCTACGGTTTCAAAGACGAAAAAAAGGAAGTATGATGAATCATATATCAGTTTCGCATTTGTTGATTCCAACGGCTCACCTCTCTGCATGTTATGTAGTAAACTGCTTCCTAATAGTTCCATGGCACCTGCCAAATCGCGCAGACATTTAGAAACTGTACACCCCAAGACAAGAATAAAGAATTTTTTGTTCATAAAAAAGAACAATTATTGGAAAGTCAAAAAAATATGATGCATGTAACACAAACTATCAATGAAAATCATATTTAGTTAGCTATCGCATTGCACAAGCAGGTGAAGCGCACACTATCGCTGAGAATTTATTAAAGCCATGTGTGTTAGACATAACAAAATGTATGCTTGATGAAAAATCTGCAAAGCATCTTTCTACTGTACCGCTATCAAACGATACTGTGTCACAGCGAATCCATGATCTGGCAAGCTACGTCAAACAAGAACAAGTTGCACGTCTACAAAAAACACGATTCGCCATGTAAATGGATGAGTTAACTGATGTCACCGGTCTGGCTATCTTGCTGGTTATCGTGAGATATCCATAACAACCATGAACATCCATGAACGTTCTTTTGAAGAAAACATGTTTATGTGTTCTCCGCTGCCCACAAACAGAGACGGGGAAGAAATTTTTATATTTTATAAAATAAAAAAAATAAAAATAATCTTAGTTGGAACGGTTGCATTGACATTTGTACAGATGGGGCCAAGGCGGTGACAGGTAAAACAGCAGGAGCAGTATCACGAATAAAAAATAAAGCGCCTAATTGTAGTTCCAGCCGTTGTATTATGCATAGACAAGCACTTGCGATGAAGCAAATGCCGTCAAATCTAAAATTAGTTATGGGTGAAGCGGTAAAAATAATTAATTTTATCAAATCACGACCACTACAATCCCGATTGTTCTCATTATTGTGTGAAGATTATGGCAGCAATCATAAAATACTGCTGCTCCATACAGGAGTGCGATGGCTGTCTCGGGGTAAAATTTTAACAAGGCTATTTGAACTTAGAGCCGAGTTACAAATGTTTCTTTCAGCAGATACAGTTTCTTTTAATTTGAAAAAAACCGTTTGTATGATAAAACTTGGTTGTTCCGATTGTCTTTTATGGCGGATATCTTTCAAAAACTGAACGAATTGAATTTATCATTGCAAGGTAAACAGACAACAGTGTTCCAGGCTTATAACAAAATAACTGCCTTCAAAAGAAAATTAGAATTTTGGATTATTTGCAATGGTAAGAGATGAATAGAAAGCTTTACGTCACTCAGTGAGTTTGTTAGCGATAACGACTCAGACATGTTACAAGATGATGTGTTTGTAGAATTGGTCCAATATCTCACGTCGATGCGCGCATCTTTTGAAAAGTATTTTCCCGAAGAACAGAATACAAAAACGGAACTGAATTCATGGATTCATAATCCTTTTTTACCCAACTTGCAAAAGCCCGAAAGTATGTCAAACGAGATATATGAATCTCTTTTAGAAATGTCATCAGACACAAGTATGGAGTCACTGTTCAAAACGACGCCTCTCAACGATTTTTGGTGCAGAATCCGTGATGAATATCCAATACTTGGCAGAATGGCTCTGAATATTCTTCTCTCGTTCCCAACAACATATTTGTGCGAAACAGGATTCTCAACCTATGCAGTCACGAAAACAAAATATCGCAATAAACTGGACGCCGAACCTGATATGAGACTTCAAATGTCTTCTATCAAACTTGATATCAACCAGTTGATGAAAAATAAAAAACTGTTTCATACCTCCCATTAGTTAAGATGTTTTCATTTTTAATACCTTCTATTATTGTACTTGCCATGTGGTAAAATAAGTAATAATTAGTAACTGTTACATTGTACTTTTGTTATGCTTATATAATAAAGAATACACTTTTAAAAACTATTGTTTTATTGTAGGGTTCCGTCAAGTATTTTGCTTGTCAAAAGGATTCCGTGATCAAAAAAGTTTGAGAACCGCTGACTTAGAACATAAATGAAAAACTCATGACGAGCAAAGTGGCTCAGGACCATGCTTTGCGGCAGTCTGTGGAGGAGGATGTTCAGTAGTGGACTTGTGAACTGTGTGTGTGACTTGTGAGCTGTAATGATGATGATGATTCGAAATCTTGCACGATTAAATTATAAGAAATCGACGTTTTTTTTATAGGATAGGGTGACAAACGAGCACGCAGTTCACCTGATGGTAAGTGGTTACTGTGGCCCACAGACATCTACATCTATCCTCGATTATGAATCAAAATGCAGATGCGTTGTCACCCGTGAGGACTAAGATGAAATGCCTCGTTTCCTTTGAAAAGGGTATCTGGTTCTCTACACTCACTATACGAAACAGCATCATTAAGCTACTATTTTACGCTGATATTATGTGAAAGTGTGGTCCTTCCCCGGTCGAGCCGACCTTCGTGCTGCAACTATACTTCTAATATAATTGCATGGTTCTACCACGTATAAACGACGTGCTTCATTTTTTTTTTCGTTTTAAAATTGTTCTCGAGTAGTTACGTTGTACCAGTTCTGGCGCACTTGTAGAAAGGTTGTACCAGTTCTGGCGCACGACGTTCGTCGACTCAAAAAAAAAAAAAAAAAAAAAGGTTTTGGCATGCTCTGATCACGAATCTGCGGTCCATTTTTGCGTAGGATGCACGGTTCCGGAGATGAGCAGATCAATTAACTCTTATCTAATTGATATCCGCTGCGAGCCTCAACCGTCATTAGCGCTCCATTGACCTTATCTACTTATCTATTGTTGTTATTCGTCAGCGTGTGGGTCGGCTTATGCTATTGTATTATACTCCTTTGTTCCTATCTACAACACTAATCTGAATCATCAATAAAACACATTACCTAATTTTGTTAAAATTTTTATTTATGAAATACAAAATCTTATTACTTATTATCTATAAAATAGGAGCGAAACATCTCATCCACTAAAATATCGTTGTACAATGTGTTCTCTGTAAATATACTCGTAAAACTATGCATTGAACATCCCTGAAACTTATATAGCAAATACATTAAGCTATATTCGCCACAAACTGAAGTCCACTCATTCTGAATCCTATCAACATTCCAGTTCCATCTTTTACAATTTCTTTTAAAAAACTCTAGATGATATCGTACAGGTGCCCGTCCGAATGAATCAAAATATTGACCGACGTCATTCGTATCGATATATAAAGCTACCCAGTGTGACCCTGGTTTATCATCTGTATCCAAATTGCATATTATATACGTTGGTACGTGGGTGTACATGGGTAGTTTATTGGCAGCATAAACATTATTTTCTAGAGTGGGGTGAATCTTTTTCAGATGTTGTTGTACATCTAGTGTATCCATAATATTACTGCTATTAGTAGATTATTACAGTACCAATCTACTCAATGAATAATATAGGAATGATCAATTATAGTGATATCTAAATATTAAATTGCTTTCTTTGTGTTATACAAAACGTATTTGAGTCACCAATACACTGAACAAGACATGACAGGAAGGACGTAGGAATGTAGAGATAAGCAACAGAATGTAAGGTAAGCTTGTTGACGCATAAAGATACTATCAATTCTACTGCAGAAATTCTTTAGATTAGAATTATTACTCACTGGTACTATATAAGACCAAGCAACTGCAGTCATGGAGTTAGTGTATGGTCGTTTGACCGCAGTGGATCTATCAATACTACGTTTGTGTTACTTCAACGCATCAAAGGCCATGGATGTAAGTGTTTATTCTATTGACAAACTTACTTTTCTTTCTGTTATTTTCTTACGTGTGTATGATTTAGTGTTAACAAATTATATTTAAATATTATGTGTGTGTGTATGGTTAAGCCGTGGTAGCTCAGATGGTTAGCGCAAAATGTAAACTTCATAGTACACGTCCCGGGTTCGATCCCCGCCGGCACCAATTAAATTGTTAATTACAATTTTAAGTGCTGATTTACCACGTGCTCAGCGGTGAAGGAAAACATCGTGAGGAATGCATGTCTGAGAAAATTTCGAAGGCATGTGAAGTTTGCCAACACGCATTGAGGTATCGCAGCGAACATTTCCTAACCCTAAAACCCTCTCAGAAATGAGAGGAGGCCTATGTTCAGCAGTGGACTTTAATAGGTTGTAACTTTAGCTTTTTTAACTTTTATGATTAAGTGTTAACAAATTGATATTAACATGATAACTGTGTTGTTGCAGAAATCATTGAGCTTCGATGAAAATACCTATAAACAGTATTACTACTCGCCACTCTCCCCTCAAGAAGAGAGTGATGACATCGTCATTAATAATAACACATACGATGGTGGAAAAAGAAAATCGCAATCGATTGATCATTTTTTTGAAGCTGAATCAAAAATAAAAAAGAGGAAGCTGTTATCATCAACCGTAGCACGAGCCGCTAGAGATGGTGTATCATACATTTCTACTAATTCTGACGACGAAGACCAAGCGACGCATCTCATCAAAATTGAAATGTACGATATGAAGAAGCTATCCAAGATTCCAACTACTGATCATTGGAAACATGCTTCCACGAGGATTAAATATTACGTAAAGACTAATAAGGATAGCATCTACGACAACACAAACGCCCTCGTATACAATATTACAAAGACAATAGCAGAAAGTTAAAAAGTTAAAAAATACTTTTTTAACAATGACAGTCATTAGCTGATCATTAGTGAATGTGATTCTGTTTACTTAAATTACAGGAAGACAAGAGCAGAAGAAAGAGATGAGTGTGGCATACGTGTACAGAACACATCATTGAAGAACAAAACTACAACACTGAGTGGAGATGAAAACGAGAATATGCAGTACTCAAGAGCTGAATATCCATTCTTCAGTTCAAAATCTAGCCGGTTGCTCAGTTTCGAAAACTGGCCTCTCGTTATGCGACAGAAACCTGAAGATCTTGCAGAAGCCGGTTTCTTTTATACTGGCCATGCAGACAGGACCAAGTGTTTCCATTGTGGTGGTGGCTTAAAAGATTGGGAAGATGATGATGATCCTTGGCAGCAGCATGTTCAGTGGTTTAGTCAGTGTGCTTATGTAAAATTTAAACTCGAACAGAGTTTTGTATTAGATTAAATAGAATATTTATAAAGAAATAAAAAATAATATATTGCATACAATTTGTTTTATTTAATTTTATAATGTTTCACATAGTTACATACACACAAAATACATTACACATAACTCATAAAATCTAACACACAACACATATTATAACCTTAACTACTATAGTCTACAGTAACATTTCTGTTTCTATCTCTATCAATAATATTATCAAACTCAGCATAAACTATACAGTTAATTGTTTGTATTAGTGAGGATTCAAATCGTACTTCTAATCTTACACTACCATGCTTTATGAGATTCCAATGAGCTGATGAGTTGGCTGATAAATCAGGAGTTAAGTCAAATGCTAATAGATAGTAACCTTTGGCATACTGTTCACAAGAGATTCCATTTCCTTCATTAAGAAAGTGAATACCAGTTCCCGAGAATAGAGTATGATATGCTGATGTAAATATGCTATTATTAAAAGATGGTTGCAAAGCTTTTGAAGGTATTTGTTGACCATCAATATATAAGCTGAAAGAATTAATACCATAGTTTTCAAAGTTAAATGGATTTTTAGTAAGGGAACCATTAAATGCAGAATTGTTCACAAATCCAATTATACATCTTTTGGGTACCTGCCCTAAAAATATATTATCAAGAGTTTTTCCTTGAACACCCGATGGAATTGTTAAAACTGTTACTTCAGCTCGAGTAATAGGATATTTAGCAGTGGTAGAAGCTAAAACTTTTTGATGTGCGAGTAATACACTTTGATTAATTCGTGCTCGTCGAACAATAAGAGTTGCGTCCGTAATGCAAACTTTAAACTTTACATCGTTTGACCCAGCAATTAAATTAAAGCTCTCTCTCGATCGAACCAATTTAACACTCATTTCAACACCATTAATTAAAAATTTATCTTGGTTGAAAATGTCACCGTGAAGATGACCAATCATTTCTGTTTCCTTACTTTCACTAATCAACTCCTGTCTTTTAACAAATCCTATGTTTTTACCATCCGTAGAATCCATTTTTCCTGCTGTATCATCATACCAAAGACTACAAGTAAGATGAGATTGTTTAGCAGCAGGAGCATAGTTTAAAAGGGTTTCCATGTATGCTCGATATGCATAGGTATTATTAGGTGGTGATACAAGTTTTTGGTTTAAATAAACATCAAGTTGACTAAAAAGTGAATGTAGCCAATTATTTACAGGTGCTACTATTGTAGTAGATATCAAGTTAGTTGAATCTTGATTTAATACTTTTGCCTTTATGTGGAGTAATGTATGAGACAAATCTATGTAGTCATCGCCTGTCCCAGGAACTTGAAACTCGATAGGTCCATCATCACCAAGAGATGAAATTGGTTTATAATGAATCCACAATCCATTTTCAATGCTAGTTTGTGTAGACGGTAGTGCAAACAAATCCAATTCTGACTTAACGCACTCGCAAGAATGATTATGAAGGAAAGATATATTTAATTTGAAAATATATCTTTGTTATTTTTTGGCTTTAGACCAAGTTTTTTCGCAGCTTTCACTTTAGCAGTTAATGGTGGAATGAACGAGGTCAATCGTTTTCTTTTAGTTTTATACCCAGATCCTGTCATGTTAAATTGATCAATTTTCTCATCAGCCTTTCGTTTTAAATTCGTACTAACTTGCTTTAGACGATCTTTTATTGAGGC